ACCCCCCCAAGTCCATAGCCTGTGAAAGTCCTAAGGCAGTCCCCGATTCCAGCAAAATCCCCGGGAGGCTTGTGTTCTTGTGGTATCCTCCTCCTCCTGTGTACTCACGACTACTGCTCAGCATTGTGTCAACCCCGACGGACACCACAGCATCTTTACCAATTTCCACAAAGAAACTGCACTCACATAAGACATTCATCAGTAGACTTTTCTAAAGAACCGAAGAGGCAGGGAGCCCTCTCAGGAAGGTTTCTCAGACACACAAGAGACAGCAAGCTATTTAAACCCCCTATTAGGCATTTCTATTCTTCTAAAGTCCCTCAGCCCACCCTGACTTGCAGGGGAGTGGGAGGGAGGTGTTCCTTTCCTGGCCCCAGTCTCACTGTCCCCCCTCCACCTCTTTCCCTCTCCCTCCCCCCACACCCCCCACACCTCTCCCGCCCCTCCCTCTCCAGAGCCTCAGACAAGTTCCTCTCCTTGACTCATTCTCGGAGCTCCCACCCCCTTTCTGGAGCGGCCTGGGCAGCTGACACTCAGGCCTAGGGATTTCACCTTCTAACTGATCCCATGCATTTTCCCAACAAACACAGTTCCTTTCTAAAATGAAGTTTGGAGCCTTCTGTTAAGAAAATGAAAGTTGTTTCCGACCTGACTGTAAAGTGCCTGGGATACACATTTGGTAAATAAATTTCCATCCACTCCTTTGCTGCTCTCCATTGTGTAATACAGGGTTGATCGACAGTAATTTCGTCATGACTAAGGTGTTCCTGCTCCTCTCCACATTCCTGTGCTGGCTGAGAGCATACCCTCAAAGAAGATCCCCTGCTGACTGTGTTTTCCGCCTACATCAGTGCCTGAGACGGGCTCCCCAACTTACTAGCTGTGTGGTCTTATGCAAATTACTTAACCTCTCTGGCCCCAGTTTCTCCAACCATAAAATGAGGTCATAGACTAGCGGATGGACTTCTCGGGAGGACGGCGTTCATTCATTCCTGCAGAGTGCTAAGTATACAGTGAGGGCTCAGTAAATGATAGCTGCTTCCCCCCTTTTTTTCCTTTAAGTCTTTTTCTCCTCAAAGAGTATGACTTCATCAATCTAAAAGATGAGCGAGTTTAACTTTTGCACTTGAACAGAGCCAACCTTGAGCTAGAGACTAAAGTGGCAGGGCCAATGTTCAATTTGGCTCAAGGGCATACCCTGCCAGAAGCCTAGGCCACAGAGGATGGCCAGGCACTAACACAGCTGAAGCCTGCAGTCAGAGATGGAGGGGTTCGAGCGAACAGGATGAAAATACAATCCAAAGCAGAGTAGCCCAAACTGGGAAAGGTACAGACTGCTCTTGGTCTAGTTCATTTCTAGGCCAGAGGATTCGGGTCCAAGCCTGGAGGGTCCCAGGGCTGGCTAGCTAGCATCATGGTGTCCCAGCTCCCACTAGACCTGTCCTAGATCTGGTGGGAAGCTCTCAGAGGCCCCTCAAATTTCCCTAGTTTCACAAGGGGACGGGGAGAACTGAGACAACAGGGAGGATGAAATGTACCCTCTCGTGCCCACAACCCCAAGAACATACAGACCCCTTGGTTATGTGGCAGGAATGGTCCATACAGTTCAGGCTGTCTGTCGCTCTTAGGGCCACATCTGACTGCTGGGTACCACCTTCCCCTAAAACCTCCACATCCCTGGAGCCTCTGCACCTCACAGGAACAGACTGGTTGAACTGCTTTTGTTCCAGCCTCTGAAAAAACAGGGGTTAAGAATGGAGTGGGAGAGCTGGGCATGGGCTGAGTGAAAACAATCCCTCCCAAGGTGGGCCTAGGTGAGGGCGAGGAAGAAGGAAGTAGGGAAGCTTTGAGGGGGCGACCAGGCCAGTTGCACAGGGCACATCTTACAGGGAGAGACTAGGTGGGTCTTCCTCTTTGCAGAAAGCAGATTTGTCTGGGTTGGACACAGTGCCGGGGAGAGGAACAGAAGATGGGAGCTCACCCACAGGGCACAAACCTACACAAAGTCATTTAGAGTTGAGTCCCTCCTCCCATGAATACATTATGCATTTGGCTTTGTAATTGCTCCCTGCGCAGCTGGGTCTTCTCCCTTGGGTACCTTTGGGATCGCGTTCATCCACGCTGCTGTGGCTATATTGGGGTTGAACTGACAAGGAGAGGGCTTGTATGTTTTGACTCTCTACCCGTGGGGGTTACCCCGAAGAAGGGTCTTGCATCTTGGAGCGTTACTGTCCCTGCGCCACCCATCAGCCTGGTCCTCTTTGCAGAAGTGTGTGCTTAAAGGAGGAAACAAGGTGGCTAGGAGAGCAGAGGACAGTGGGCCCATGAGATGGAAGAACAATCACAAAGAAACAGAAAGGGCCTTGCGGACTTTACTCAGAAGCAGATGACCTGCTGACTCTCTTCTTCCTGGTGGGATCTACCCCCTGCCAGAGAGTTTTACCATCTGGAGGGACACCCAGGGCTGCAGGACCTCCCTGTCTCGCCCTTGGCCCCGGGGTTTGAGGCCGGGCCCTGCAGGCTGGGGCCTGCACTAGCTCCAGGCCGACCAGAGCCCCTGTACCTGCTCCCACTCCATTCTCAACCTGGTTTTTCAGAGGCTGGAACAAAAGCCGTTCAACCAGCTGCTCCCGTGAGGTATAGAAGAGTCAAAGCAGGACTCTTCTCCCAGAGGCTTCTGGCTTGGTGAGAGGGCTGAGCCTTGCTCCTCCCTGAGGTTTTGTTTGGATTCTTTGTTAGTGGTGGTAAGAACACTTAACATGAGAGGTTTAGCAAGTTTTTAAGTTTACACCATATTATTATTGTGCACTGTTGTACAGAGACCTCTGGAGCTTGCTTGTTCTCTGAACTGAAACTTGATGCCATTGATTAGTGATTCCTCAGCCTCTGGCAACCACCATTCCACTCTGATTCTTGAACTTGACTGTTTGAGATACCTCATATAAGTGAAATCATGCACTATTTGTCTTTCTATGACTTGTTTATTTCCCTTAGCACAATGTCCTCAAGGTCCATCCATGTTGTCACCAATTGCAGGATTTCCTCCTTTTTTAAAGGCTGGATAGTATTCAAATATCTATATCTATATCTATATCTATATCTATATCTATATCTATATCACATTTTGTTTATCCATTCACCTACCGATGGGCATTTCTGTTATTTCCCCATCTTGGTTATTGTGAATAATATTGCAGTGAGTAGGGGCGCCTGGGTGGCTCAGTGGGTTAAGCCTCTGCCTTCAGCTCAGGTCATGATCCCAGAGTCCTGGGATCAAGCCCCTCATCAGGCTCTCCACTCAGCAGGGAGCCTGCTTCCCCCTCTTCTCTCTGCCTGCTGCTGCTCTGCCTACTTGTGATCTCTCTGTCAAATAAATAAAATCTTAAAAAAAAAAAAAAAGATATTGCAGTGAGTAGAGGACTGCCAACATCTCTTCCAGATCCTGAAAACAAACAAGTGGGACTCCATCAAACTAAAAAGCTTGTACAGGGGCGCCCAGGTGGCTCAGTTGGTTAAGCGGCTGCCTTCGGCTCGGGTCATGATTCCAGGGTCCTGGAATTGGGCCCCGCATCGGGCTCCCTGCTCAGCAGAGAGCCTGCTTCTCTCTCTCCCCCTCTCCCTGCCGCTCTGCTTACTTGTGCTCTCTCTCTAGCTCTCTGTCAAATAAAAAAATAAATTAAAAAAAAAAAAAAAAAAAAAAGCTTGTACATGGCAAAGGAAACAACGGAGTGGAAAAGCCAGCTACAAAATGGGGGAAAATATTGCACACCTTACATCTGATAAGGGGTTAATCTCCAAAATACATAAGGATTTAATTGTGAGGATGTAATTGTTCTCTACAATTTAATTGTGAGAACAAAAACACAAACACAAACTAGGAGCCCGGCTGAAAAATGGGCTGAGGACATGAAGAGACATTTCTCCAAAGAAGACACACAGATGGCCAACAACCAGGAAAAGAGGCTCAACATCACTCATCATCAGAGAAATGCAAATCAAAAGCACAATGAGACACCTACCCCTCACACCTGTCAGGATGGCTATCTTATTATTAAAAAAGAAAGAAAAAGATATCAAGATAAGAAGTATTGGTGCGGGTGTGAGAAAGTGGAATCCTTGTGCCCTGTTGGTGGGAATGCAAAATGGAAACCAGTATGGAGGTTCCTCAAAAAATTAAAACTAGAGCTACCCGCCCCCCCCCCACCCACCCCACCGCCCCCCTCCCCACCCACCCCATGCAGCGACTCTACTGCTTGGGGATTCGTCCCAAAGAACTGAAATCAACATCTCAAAGAGCATTTCTCTCAAAGTCTTTGTTATGTCGCCCCTGTTGCTTTTATTTTATTTATTTATTTTTAAGATTTATTTATTTATTTACTTGACAGATAGATTACAAGTAGGCAGAGAGGCAGGCAGAGAGAGAGAGGAGGAAGCAGGCTCCCTGCTGAGCAGAGAGCCCGATGCGGGGCTCAATCCAGGGACCCTGAGAGCATGACCTGAGCCGAAGGCAGAGGCTTAACCCACTGAGCCACCCAGGCGCCCCCCCCCCCTCGTTGCTTTTAAACCCAACCAAAAAAGCCTCACCCCCGCCGGCTCCCAGGACAAATCCTAGGTTCTGTACCCCACCCCCCACCCCACCGCACCCCACCGCCCCCCACAGCCCCTCGCCCAGACCTGCCCGCCACGGATAATTGAATTTCGCTCCCTGCCGGGCGTCTCGGCCCTGGCCAGAACACGCTTGGGGAAGGCGCCCGCACCCCGCGAGAAGCCGGGGCATGCCTGGCTGGGGGGCCATCGGGCCATCGTCAGGCGGCCGCGCTAGCCAGAGCAGCGTGACACGACGATCCGGGGGCGGTGACGCTGAGGGCCGAAACGGGGCGTTGCTCTCCCGGGCGCCCGGCTTCCTGGGCTGTCGCCAGCCGGGCTGGGCGGGCGGAGGCGGGGGCCGGGCGCGGCCTTTTAAGGCCGGGAGGAGTGGCCTGGCCCGGGGGCCAGCCGCGCAGGCGGGCCACTGTCACAGGCGCCCCGCGCTCCGGCTTGGTCCCGTCCCGCGCGCACCCGGCCGCACGGCGCACACTCGCGCTCTGGGACCGCATCCAGCCCCTCTCCGAGAGTCCTCATGGGGCCCGAGGCCGCCTGCCCAGGGAGGGGCCTCCTGTCTGGCCTCCAGGTGAGGACCTGGATCGAACCCGTGGTGGCCTCCACGCAGGTGGCCGCCTCCCTCTATGAGGCGGGGCTGCTCCTCGTGGTGAAGGCGTCCTTTGGAGCCGGGGCCTCCAACCACAGCACCAGCCCGTCGCCCCGGGACGCCCTGGAGGACCAGCAGCAGAGGGCCATCTCCAATTTCTACATCGTCTACAACCTCGTGGTGGGCCTGACGCCGCTGCTGTCCGCCTATGGTCTGGGCTGGCTCAGCGACCGCTACCACCGCAAGATCTCCATCTGCGTGTCCCTGCTGGGCTTCCTGCTCTCCCGCCTCGGGCTGCTGCTCAAGGTGCTGCTGGACTGGCCGGTGGAGGTGCTGTACGGGGCGGCGGCGCTAAATGGGCTATGCGGCGGCTTCTCGGCCTTCTGGTCCGGTGTAATGGCCCTGGGCTCCCTGGGCTCCCCCGAGGGTCGCCGCTCTGTGCGCCTCATCCTCATCGACCTGATCCTGGGCCTGGCAGGATTCTGCGGGAGCATGGCCTCTGGGCATCTCTTCAAGCAGATGCTTGGGCACTCTGGGCAGGGCTTGGTGCTGACCGCCTGCAGCGTGAGCTGGGCTGCTTTTGCGCTTTTCTACAGCCTCTTGGTCCTGAAGGTCCCTGAGTCGATGGCCAGACCCAGCAGGGTGCTCCCTGTGGTGGACACGGTATCTGGCACGGTTGGCACCTACCGTGCCCTGGATCCTGATCAGTTAGACAAGCAGAGTGTGGTGGGGCACCCTCCATCCCCTGGGAAGGCACAGCCCCCAAGGACTATCATTGCCCTGCTCTTTGTGGGTGCCATCATATATGACCTGGCTGTGGTGGGCACCGTGGACGTGATGCCTCTTTTCATGCTAAGGGAGCCTCTCAGTTGGAACCAAGTGCAGGTGGGCTATGGCATGGCTGCAGGGTACACCGTCTTCATCACCAGCTTCCTGGGCGTCCTGGTCTTCTCCCGCTGCTTCCAGGACACCACCATGATCATGATCGGTATGGTGTCTTTTGGGTCAGGAGCCCTCCTCTTGGCGTTTGTGAAAGAGACATACATGTTCTACATTGGTGAGTCCGGCTTTCCCGGGGAGGCAGGACAAGGAAAATGTGGACCCCTAGGGTCATGGGGCTGACATGGTGTGGTGTGGCGTGGTGTGGTATGGCGTGGTGTGGCGTGGCGTGGCGTGGCATGGTGTGGTCTAGGTGTCCCAGCTCAGCACCAGGGATGGGACCTACTATCTTAAGAAGGGAGACAGGATTACATGTGGTTGAGTTAATGTAGTTGCACTGTATTGTGTTATCTGTGTTGCCCACTGAAACGTTATCAGGGCCGTGCCCATGGCTCTAGGTCAGGGGAGGGTCAGTCAGTAGTGTCTGCAGTCAGTAGGGAAGGTTTTGGATTGGCCTTAGGAGAAGGGGTTAGATTTTTTCTCTTCAGTTTTAAAGGGACAAAACATTGAAGTAATCCGGCTGGAAAGGTCCCTTCATTAAAATCATTTCAGGCCAAGCAGGGGCTGTTTAAAAATGGATAAATGCCTTTCACAACCAATGTAATAAATTCTCTCAAAGAAGTAGAATGAAGTTTCCATCTGAGGACCACAGGCAGAGAGCTCTAAATCCAGGCTCTAATAGATCTTTCTACAATGATAGAATTCTTCTAAAATCTGTGCTGTCCAATATGGTAGCCACTGGCCATGTGTGGCTCTTGAGCACTTGGAATGTGGCTAGCACCGCTAAAGAACAGAATTTTAAATTTGATTTTAATTTATTTATATAGTCACTGTGGCTAGTGGTTGACATATTAGAAAAAAACAACTTTAGACAGTCACCACAGGCTGTCCCTTGGCTGAGGGCACACATCTCAGAAAACACCTAACAAAATGGCAACTTAGGCCTGGCCAGCTCCCAGTTAGGCTGCGTGCAAAGGCCAGAGTACCTGTCTCCCTTCCTACCACCTCTACCTCTCCTTCTCTCTCTCCACACACTCACACACCTAAACACACACCACACTGGGATTATGAATAAGGAAGGAAGGGTGTGTGGCAGCTGTGTAACGTGGCACACACTCCCGCAACTGTCTCCCAGAGGGGATCGTGAATGGTGACAGAAGACACCTCTGTCCCGGCAACAAGATGAAGAGTCCTGAGTCACTCAGTGACATCAGCTCCACTTCACTAGATGCCACTTAAATCTGCCAATGAAGACAGCCTTCACTATCCATCCCCGTGCCAGCTGAGCCCCGCCACCTTGCAAGTGGGTCTGTGGCATCAATGGCACCATCAGAGCTCAGGGACTCAGCCTGCCTGGGAGGGGGGGGCATTAGTCCACTAGTGGAGAAACCACTACATCCAGGGCAAGCCCATGCGGTCTGTGGGGAAAGGGAGATTCCTGGTAAGGCTTTTTGCTTTCTTCTGATTTACTCCTTGGCCAAGGCAGGGCACATTGAGGAGTGTTCTTGTGTGATTTCCTTCCAGCTCGAGCTGTCATGCTGTTCGCACTCATCCCCATCACAACCATCCGATCAGCAATGTCCAAACTCATAAAGGGCTCCTCTTACGGTACGTTAAAGAAATTTCTCTGAAATTCTCTGCCCAGCCCGTTTCAGAGCTGCTTGGGTTGAAGCACAGGGTTCAGACTTACAGAAGGTCTACGAGAGAGTTCCAGAAGCCACCTTGAATACACTAGGAACACTCTGGGGTCCATCCAGGGCAGAGGGGGTGAAAACAGGAGGATGGGAAAGACTCAGAAAGTCAGTCACTGAAAAGCCACAGTCAGGGGAGGAGGCTACTATCTGTGGGTTGCAGAAAGATCCAGCTGGATAGAGGCAGGGGTCCTGGCGGAGTGAGCCGAGACCGAGAGGGAGCTCTGGGAAGGACGCAGAGCCTCCTGAGAGCTCCCTGGAGACTCAGCTAGTGGGTAACAAGGAAGGGACAGCAGCATATCTTCTTGGTAACCCCTGTCGCTTCCACAGGAAAGGTGTTCGTCATCCTGCAGCTGTCCCTGACTCTGACCGGGGTGGTGACCTCCACGGTGTACAACAAGATCTATCAACTCACCATGGAAAAGTTTGTTGGCACCTGTTTTGCTCTCTCCTCCTTTCTCTCCTTCCTGGCCATCATCCCAATTGGGTAAGACAGGAGCAGTGACTGTGGTTTAGGCTGAGGCCCTGGGGCACATGTCAGGGCCCGCTGGACCCCCTCCAGCCTATTAGCATAAAGAATTATTTCTTTGCAGCCTCTAGGCAGTGGGTTCTGGGTCAGCTCTCCCACAAAGAAAAAGTCCTCCTGTTCCTCAGGAGGAATCTGGCAATGTGGGAAACCCCCAAAGTCCTGAATAATGAACAGACGGCCACAAGCAGCTGGCATACTTCCTGGCAGTGTGGTAATTCACTTTGTTTATGAAAGCCTCATAGACTTCCTTGTAATCAGAGGCTGGGATTAGAAACCCTTGTGAACCACTTCCACCCCTTTTGTTTAGGTCATTTTATTTATTTATTTATTTATTTATTTATTAAGATTTTATTTATTTATTTGAGAGAGAATGAGTGAGAGAGAGCATGAGAGAGGAGAAGGTCAGGGAAAGAAGCAGACTCCCCAAGGAGCTGGGAGCCCGATGCGGGACTCGATCCTGGAAGTCTGGGATCATGACCTGAGCAGAAGGCAGTCGCTCAACCAACTGAGCCACCCAGGCGCCCTGTTTAGGTCCTTCTAGATGAGAACCATCCTGCTTCACTTCTGGGTACTCTTGGCATGCCCTCCAAAGGCTTGACAACTGGCGGCCTCTGGGCTCAGCCACCTCCCCACCTGCCCCGACACTCTCACATGCCACTGGACTGTGTGAGCTCCCTAGAGGACTTAGGCAATTCCTTTGATCTCTCTGGGGAGTTGTCTCATTTGTCAAGTAAGAGCAATAAAGTCAGGAAAATAACAGGCAGGAAGACCACTGGAGAAGCCAAAGAGAGGAACTCCACTCCCAGGGTAAGAGCACCAGCCTTGGACATCATCAAAACAGACCAAAATGGTCTCTGACCAGCCCTCTCTCGTGCAAGTCACCAGAGCAAGCCACACTGCAAGCCATATATGCAATTGTCAATTTTCTAGTAATGTTTAAAAATGGTAACAGGTGAAATTAATTTTAGTAACACATTTGATTTGACCCAATATATCCAAAATATCATTCTAACGTCTAGTCAATTTACAAAAGTATCAGTGAGTTTTGGTTGTTTTGTTTTTTTTTTTTTAAGTCTTTGAAATCCGGTATGTATGTTATGCTGTTGGCACATCTCAGTTTGGACTCCATTTGCACATCTTTCAAGTGCTCGGGGGCCAGTGCAATAGTGGCTACTCCATTAGCCCAGTCTTGGATGGTTTGAGACCATTTACCCCTTCTCATTCAGTGAGGTCCTCTCATGCTTGTATCAATCCCACCACAGGAGAAAGGAATACAGTAAATATATCCACACTAAGGGGCAAGGGATTTGATAAGGATTTGCATTTTAGGGGACCTGCCTGGTAGCACAGAGAGCTCTCTGTGTCAGTAATGGTGGCATTACAGACAGCCCAATAGAAACCAATCGAGGGCAGGCTGGAAGAAGCAGGAAGTAGATGGCAGTAAGGCCTTGTGAGAATTCTCACATCATAATATATGTCCCTGTCTACACAGAAGGTTGAGGCTCTTTTTTTTTTCTTTTAATTTATTTATTTGACACAGAGAGAGAGAGAACACAAGTAGGGGGAGCAGCAGGCAGAGGGAGAGGGAGAAGCAGCCTCCTTGCTGAGTGGGGAGCCCAATGCGGGGCTTGATCCAAGGACTTTGGGATCATGACTTGAGCCAAAGGCAGATGCTCAACCAACCGAGCCACCCAGGCGTGCCAAGGCTGAGCCTCTTGAGCTATCAATCATGAAGGCTCTTAGCTCTATTTCATGGTTGAGAGAAGAAAGATGTGCCGATCAGAAAAGAAGGAATGGAGTTGAGGGACGGAGGGACAGCGGGACAGAGGGAGGGACGGAGGAGGGAAGGCCTTTTCCTGGGCCCTATTTTTATGTGAGTCTTGGCTGAATGGGTTGGGCTCAGCTAGACCTTAGCATGCAATGCAAATTTCCCAGCTGTTTGCCCAAGTAAGTGATGAATTAGTAGCTGTGCCACTTGGAAGTCACCCAACCCTATTTGGGAGTTGGGCGAAATAGTCTCATTAACCTAAACAAACAAACAAAGGAAAACAGACCAAAAAAAAACAAGCCTGAGAAGTTAATGTGTGGCATAGTTAGAGAGATAAATGGACCAATGAAAGCCATGAGAAAATACAGTAGTTGGTTCCTTTCTACAGTTTTGCTGCTTCTTGTGTGTACTGAGTGGGATGCTGGTCTTGCGTAAGAGACTTTAGGGCACAGGAAGGAGGTGGGCTTCTCTCGACCTCTCACCCCAGGACACTATGCAATGTGTGCTTGGATTTGGTCAGACTTTCCGTGCACGGTTTCTTCCTTAGGCCCTGAAGGTCTTTGCGATTTTCTATCACAGATGCAGGGACAGGATCTTGAATCCATCAAGTAAGTACCTGAGTGCTTATGTGAATGAGGCACTGAAGTAGTTGATCATTATTTCTCTCTCACAGTCATGTACCAGTAAAGAGACACATGGGAAAATAAAGCCTCATTGGCTATATGCCAGAATCACCTAGAAAGCTTTAAAAGTCACTGATGTCTGGATCCCACCCCCAGAGATTCCGACTCAGTCGATCTGGAGTGCAGCCTGCGCACAGGAATTTTTAAAAGCTCTCCAGATGATTTGAATATACAACCAAGATTGATAACTCTGGTACAAGTGTTTCCATTACCTTTCCCTTCCGTGGAGTCCCTGAATGAACAAGATCTTGAAAAATTCTTACAGTTAGAAGAGGCCAAGGAGGTACCATCAATCCAGTGAGACCACCGGGGAAAAGCAGTAGAACGTTCCAACCACAGAGAGGAAAGCTACATTCTAATGACATAGAAGCCCAGGAAGGCATGTGAGAGCAGGGAACAAAGGAGGCAGCAGAGGGCAGAACGCTGGAGGAATGGTCCCTGGGCCAGAGCTGCCAACAGCCTGCTTGCCAGAAGGGACTGTGTCCCCGGCCCTTTCTGGTCCCAAAGTGAGTCCATTTCACATTACTGTTGAGAACCGCCCTTCTCCTACTTGCTCTTCTTACGTGCAATTGGGAGATGTTAAAGGAGTAACTGTCTCTGCCCGTCTGTGACCTACTTGCCACTGGATTCTTCTCTGCCCTCCCCACCCTTTTTAAATTAATAGTAACAATAGCAAACCTGTAAATAGCCCTTATCATGGGCCAGCTACTACTTAAAATATTGCATATATTTAATGAATTTAATCTTCCCCCAAAGTTCTTGGAGGTCATGACTATTGTTATTTTTGCAAATAAGGAGACAGACACTCTAGGGTGTTCTGTAACTTACCAAATTCCACAGCCAACAAGTGGCAGAGACAAGGGTTGAACCCAGGCAGTCTCTGACCCACCACAGGGCACGGCTTCTTAGAGGAGTCACCAGTGTCGGGTGCCACCTGTCCCGTCTCCTTAGAGAGCTCTCTCCCCTCGAAAGCGAGCTGCTCTCTCCTGAATGCTTACTGAACCGACATGTGATCTACCACCCAATCTCTCCTCAACCTCCATTGGCTTCATGGTCAGCTTCTGCAAAGGCTGGTGTGCACTTGCTGCATCCTCATCTCCCACCCATCTGAGGCCCCCCTCGACCATCAGAGCCCTTCTCATTAAGGCCGCTAACAACTCTTCAAGGCTAAAGCCACTGGACTCCCTGCAGTTCTCACCCTACATGATTTCCTCATGGTCCCCACACCAATGGTCTCTCTCCACTGTCATTGGGCTTTCTCAACACCTTATTGCTTCTTCCTGACAAACCACCAAATGGAAGATTCTTTAGGGCTCTTCTCTGGGTTCTCACTTCATATTCTCTAAGCAAACTAAAGTACTTTCAAAACTTTGAATTACCATCTAAGTTTCCAAAATTGGGTTCTTGATGCCTTCCTACATCTGTTCCCTCTCCAGTCTATCCCACCTCACTAAAAGGCACCACCACTCCCTCAGGAAGAGAAACCCAAGTCACCAATGTCCTCCCTCCTCTCTACCTCCCCTAACTGCTAATCCATCAGACCTCATTGACTCCATCTTCAAAATAGGCCTAGATTTCATCCTTTTCTTTTTATCACTACTGCTACCACCCCGAGGCTTGAGCACTTGAACAATTGGATTAGCCTCTGAACCATTACCCCCATGTCCACTCTTGTGCCCACCCCATCCTCCTTCTACCAGGTGCCTAGAGCAATTTCCTTCAAGTGTTTAAATAGATCATGTCATCTCCTGCTCAAAATTCTGCATTTGGCTTTCATTGCTGTTAGGATACAACCTGAATGTCTTTCCATGGACCACAAGGCCCCACATAATCTGGGCTTGCCAACCTCCCTGGTGCCTGTTGCTGCTGCTTACCACCCTCCCCGACCCCATGTGTCAGCCCCAGTAGTTGCCCCTTGTGTCCTCCTCCCTTCTGCACCGTGCCTCCTCTTAACCCAACTGGCTATGGTCTTAACCCATTCTCAACCTAAATTAGGTCCTTCTATCATATGCTCCCAAAGCTTCCTGTACTTTCCTTCATAGCACGACAGCTGATGATTAGTGATTGCCTTTTCATAAGCCTGCCCACTGGATGGTAGGCTGGCCTGAGGGCAGGAACCACAGCTTTCTGGCTCAGCATGGATAGTCTGTGTCCAGCAGAGAGCCTGGCATGTAAGGAGTACTCAAAAAGGATCTAAGGTATCCTCTGTTGGAAGGATGTGGCCCCTACTGGCCAGCACGGTGAACCTCCAACCCCCAGAGCTGCCTGTTGGCTGACCTGAAGGCAGGGCTGGCCATCCCATTGGGTCTGCGTGGTCAGGTCTCTGCAGGATTCAGCTAGAGTCAGGACTGCAGCCAGGCATTCACGGCATTGTGGGTAGCTGCCTCCACTCCTGGGCTTTCCTGCTGGGTTAGTAATACAATGAGTTTTGTTTCAAGTACAGTAAGTGCTTCTCCCTGTGGAGCCCTGTGACTTATGGAAGATGGGAAGTCAGAGTTTTGGGAAGAGCTCACGAAGCTCTCCCTTAGAAGGTTTGGATTCTCATTCATATCCCATCCAGCAGCTCCAGGAGCTGGCCATCAGCTAGGAAGAGCTGTGCTCTTAGACTCTGAGGCTCCTAGGGCTCAAACAGAGGAAAGTCCGAGGACCCCAGAGGTGGAAGGACAGGCCGAAGGACAGGCCAAAGTTCACACAGATCCAAGACTTGGCCTCAAATCTCCTAATTCCTATGCATCCCCTTAGCTACAAATATTTGCGAACAACGTAATGAGGATTTGTGGAAGAGATAAAGGGGGGCTATGGAAAGGCAGAAGATGAGATAGCCAATTCTGCTTGGGATTAGCCAGTCTTGACCTTGAAATACAGCTGGGAGGTCATCAGGCAGAAGTGAGATGGAGAGAGATTCTGGGAAAAGGAAAGTGTAGACGTAAAGGGCTTGAGATGTCTTAGGACTGGAATGGGCCTGGAGTGGGAGAAGTTTCCTCCCGCCATCTCCCAACTCCAAACAGCCTCCCAGGCACGAGGGACAGCGGCTGTTGGTGGGGAGGAAAAGGCACACCCTTTGCCTCATTCCAATTGTTGGCTTGTAATTCTGGATTGTCAATTCTTACAGCATCGTGGCCTATAAACAAGCCTCGTGGTTGCAATACGGTGACATCACGGAGACATGAAGGGGCTGACCTGCGGGAGCTGTGAGGACCAGCAACAGCGGGGCCCCTTTGAAGGCAAAGGAGGGAACTGAGTGCTGGTGACCAAGGCAACCCACCACCCCCAAACCCCAAGTTCGAGCCAGAGTTGGCCTCGGAATGACCCGCTCTGGCTCTGGGGTCCCTGGTGGGTGGGGAACAGCCCTTTCTTGGTGATAGAAGAACTTTCTCAGTTTTCAGATGTCTCTGCTAAACAGAGATTGGGTTCAGGCCGCAGGAGAGTGTGAACATTCAAAGGTTTTATGTAGGCTGCATACACAGTCATGCCAGATGCACCCAGGGCTTCAGATGGCAGCCCCCTTTCTTTCAGGAGCTGTCACCGGAGCTCCAAGGTATGGCTAACCAGTCACCCAGGTGCTGCGCTGGGAGGCCCACATGAGAACTCCAACCAAAGCAACACATTTTCAATAGCCTAAGGGGAACACAGAGGGGATGTTTTATAAGAACTCCCAATGTTTTAGGAGATTTGGGGCTCAGGCTCTTGGATTCAGGGTGGTTTTATTGTTGTTGGTCCTGTTGCTTTTAAGAAGCGAATATCAAAAGACTTTGTTTAGTGGAATATTATATTGAATATTTCCAGTCAACATTACTCCCCCCAGTGGGTGGTGTGAAGGGAGAGGGGAGAGGAGATGTGCTAAGAGTCATTTTATGTCAAGGTACCCATTTTTATAGCCTATTTTACTTACATAGAGAAAAGCAGACTCACTTCCTAATAAAATGGACGTTTATTGTATGTGTGTGAATCATTCTGCTCTAGTCAGGCTCCCTCTATAACTACAGGCATGGCATTCTTATACTGGGGTCAAACTTGAAGCTACAGAATAGATTTAAAGCTCCAAGAATTTGGGTTCAGAGAGTCTGCATCTCTGATCCCTTGCAGGGAAAAAACTAAACTTTCTGGCATGTGTCCTGAGGTCCTAGAACCAGGGTCCTAGAAGCTAGAACCCGAGATATGGCAAGAATGTGATTGTTCCTGTCCCAGAGCCTATGTCTAGCAAGTGCAGCAGATAGAGCCTCCAGGAACAATGTATCCTACGACACATGCTAACCTAAGGAAGCAAATAATCCAGATTTAGGAAAGCAGGGAAGGCTTCTCAGAAGTGGCACATGGTAAGACTGGAAGGATAAGGAGTTACCGAGGCCAGAAGTTAAGGGCCAGTCCAGGCAGAAGGAATCACAGCTGGAAGGCCTGAAGGTGAAAATATCCTGGGATAGAGGAATTCAATATAAGGGGAGTGAGGAGAAAGGGAGGGGGCAGATACCAAAGGAACAGGATCAAGACACGAGACTGGAGAGGTAAGGAGGAACAACACACAAATAGAGCCTTAAAAAAAAAAGTTTCTCTTCTAAGTTATGGGGCTAGCTGGTGGAGGATTTCAGGCAGGAGCACGAACTGGGGGAGGAAGGAGCAGAAGGAGCGAGCACTACTTGCAGAAAGGAGGCAAGAGCAGAGATGCAGTAATCCAGGCGACGGATGATGGAGGACTGATGCTGGAGAAGGAGCTACAAGGATCGAGAAAAGTGAGGGACTCAGAGAGATCCTTGGGAGCTAGTAGTCAACGGTAGTGGGGGATGGATGAACCGCAGAGGGTGAGGCAGATGGAGGCAAGAATGCTCAGATTCGGGGTTCAGGCAACTTTAGAAAGAAGGCAGAGCCTCTCACTGAGACAGGCAACATGGATGGAGGAGGGGGGACGGGAAGAGGACTTCAAGGCCACGCTCACCTCTCTAAACTCTCATAGTCATGCTCCTTGCCCTGGACTCCTTCCCTCGTGTCCCAGCCTGATTGGCTCCCCGACCTGGATGAATCTCATTGTTGGCTGCTCCATTCCTGCTCCTGAAAAACTGGCTTGCAACATCCAGAAACATTTCTTTACTTGCCCACACTCATCCTTGCTGTGAGCTTGTGGCTTTTATTTATTTTAAAATTTTTATTATGTTATGTTAGTCACCATACAATACCTCGTTAGTTTTTGATGCAGTGTTCCATGATTCATTGTTTGTGTAGAACACCCAGTGCTCCCTGCAATACATGCCCTCCTAATACCCATCACTGGGCTCATCCATTCCCCCCACCCCCTCCCCTCGAAAATCCTCAGATTGTTTCTTGGAGTCCACAGTCTCTCATGATTCATCTCCCCCTCTGATTTCCTCCCCTTCACTTTCCCTTTCCTTCTCCTAATGTCCTCCATGTTACACCTTATGTTCCACAAGTAAGTGAAACCATATGATAATTGACTTTCTCTGCTTGACTTACTTCACTCAGCATAATCTCTTCCAGTCTCGTCCACGTTGATAAAAAAGTTGGGTATTCATCCTTTCTGATGGCGGAGTAATATTCCATTGTGTATATATACTATATCTTCTTTATCTATTCATCTGTTGAAGGGCATCTTGGCTCTTTCCACAGTTTAGCTATTGTGTACATTGCTGCTATGAACACTGGGGTACATATGGCCCTTCTTTTCACTACATCTGTATCTTTGGGGTAAATACCCAGTAGTGCAATTGCAGGGTCATAGGGTAGCTCTATTTTAAATTTTTTCAGGAATCTCCACACTGTTTTCCAAAGTGGCTGCGCCAACTTGCATTCCCACCAACAGTGTTAGAGCGTTCCTCTTTCACCACATCCTCTCCAACATTTGTTGTTTCCTGCCTTGTTAATTTTGGCCATTCTAACTGGAATAAGGTGGCATCTCAATGTGCTTTTGATTTGAATTTCCCTGATGGCTAATGATGAACACTTTTTCCTATGTCTGCTAGCTATTTCTGTGTCTTCATTGGAGAAGTGTCTGTTCATGTTTTCTGCCCATTTTTTGACTGGATTATCTGGTTTTTTGGGTGCTGAGCTTGAGAAGTTTTTTATAGATCTCAGATATCACCCCTTGGTCTGTAGTGTTATTTGCGAATATCTTCTT